CCCAGCCTTCCCCAGCCCCTTCCCCTACAGGCCTGTCCCCTGCACCTGCTGGAAGGCAGGGGTTGATGCTGTAAGCGCCCGTTTCTTGGTGGGCTGGCCTTGTCAGTAAACACCTGATAGGATGCCACCTGCCTTCGTGATTGGACACAGCGACAGGCGGCCGGGCCCCCCCGGGTCCCCAGGAGCGTGGCCTGGGAGGGAAGGGGCCTGGGCAGGCCCTCGGGGCCTGAATTCCCTCCAGGATCCCATTTTCTGAGGAAGAGCTGCAAACTGCAGGCGCTCCAAGTCCTGCACCCCCACCGCCCCCCGAACACCGTAAAACCTCACCCCTAAGGGAGCCCTTGTAAACCGCCTCCTCACACCTGCCCTGCTGGGGGTAGCGTTCCCCACCTGCAGGCGCGCCATCACAGGGTGACGGTCAGGTACACGCTGAGGTTTGCCACCTGCTTTCCAACCTGTGAGCCTTTTACAAGAGGAGACGAAGAAAAGTCGGGCATGTTTTTGCGACCTCTCCACGCGGTGCAGCCCGGACGGACTTCGACCATCAGTCAGTGAAAGGGTCACTAACGCACCGCTCCCCCCGGGCGGATCCGGAAATCATCTCCGCTTGTTTTAAAGCAGGAAATGAACGGAAAACACAGAGGGAGGGCCAGCGCGCTGATCGCTGATCCATGGGATCAATCCTGAGACCTAGAGACTGGAGATGAAACGCTAGAGTGAGCCCCGGCCCAGGTGACGGGAGCAGGGCCAGGGCACCCCGAGGAGAGCTTCTTAGGCTAAGAGGCCAAGTGGACGGTTCTGCCAGTTGCTAAAGCTGTTTCCGGTTGCTGGTCACCCCCAGCCGTGGCCTTTCAGAGGAAAGCAAGGACAGTGTGGCCCCCTTTCCCCAGATTTATTCTTGCCCGGAGGCAGCATCAGCCGTGAAACACCGTACTGAGGAGCCTGGTCAGTGTTCAGGCCGCTCTGAGCTAATCTCGCAGCAGCGGGGCTGACGGCCGAGGCCCTGTCTACTTGCAGACAGCGAATCTATGCAGCGAGGGCTTTATGGCTCCAGGGCAGGAGGAGTGGGGAAACTGAGGCAGGAAAGTGTAAACAAGGCCAGCCCGGCCGGTGTGGCTCAGTGGTTGAGCATCGACCTATGAACCAGGAAGTCGGGGTTCAATTCCCGGTCAGGGCACAGGCCCGGGTTGCAGGCTCGATCCCCAGTGCGGGGCGTGCAGGAGGCAGCCGGTCCATGACTCTCTCTCATCATGGATGTTTCTCTCTCTCCCTCTCCCTCGCTCTGAAATCAAATAAAAAATATTTTTTAAAGAGGCCAAAATGCACCATGAAATAAGAAGCGTATTTTCTCACGCTCTTGCTCTACGAGAAAACAACAACCTGA